TGTCGACAGAAGGACACAACGACTTAAGGAGAAAACCTAAGCAAATAAATGTTTCACTCACATACATACACAAACTAGAGGGTATAAACATAAGCAGGCTAGTTGCAGATCCAATAGGGAATTTAGGAGGAACTTCTTCACCATGGGATGGTGATGCATTTACTGCCGGAAGCTGGGTTGAAGCAAATAGCATCAATTTAAGAGAAAACTTGATGATTACACAAGGGAGAAGGGGATGGAGTGGTATAAATAAGGGGAATAGGTGGGGCAGAGGATCGTGGGAAGCACTGTCTAATTGGACCAAATGACTCGTTCCCATGCTGTTTCACTCTGTTACTCTATGTAAAACGAACATAGCAGCCCAGGAAGGAAACAGGTTGGGGGGAGAAAGAATACACTGGAATCGTAAATGGATAAGATAGTTATACAAGTCATAACAGAGCAATCTGCATTGCTCCTGTGCTCAGACAACTAGAGTTACCTACATTCCTTACTCCACACGCCTAATAATAATCCCTCCAAAAACAAAAACAATAATAAATTGGTCATTTTCAATCTACGACTGTTTGTGGGACATTGCTGTGCGCAATTGGCTGCCGCGTTCACCCACAAATATACAGTCAATTCACTTTACAGTCTATTCTGTGAAGCGCTTTGGGACGTCCTCCCGACGTGAAAAGCGCTATATCAAATGCAAGGATTATTATTATTATATTATTATAATGGATCTCAGTGGCAGCAGAACCACTGAATAACAATGTGATTTGTCACAAATAATAATCCAAAACACAAATAGACCGTGTCCCTGCAGTTACTCTAAAGATAGGAAAAATATTGGAATCATATATGCTCTACAATGTAACTGAAGGGACAAATCACAAACAAGCACATTACAATCAGCTAAAACTAAATACAATCAGTAGGCTTTTTTTATTTTGTTGATTTTCTCCCCTCCCCCGCCTGGAATGCAATTCTTTTCCCTTGGTTACAAGTGCCAATTGCCTTCCAGTACCTTATCCAAGTGGCCATTCTTCATAACTGAGTGTTACAACAATACTTAATACAACAAAATATTGCATTTATATAACAATAATAATCCTTGCATTTGACACAGCGCTTTTCACGCCATCAACACAACTTTTAAATGCCCCCTTCATGAGACACGATCTAGAGTTAAGCCTTTAGTTACAATTCTATGGCAACGACTTGGTTGCACAGAGACTAGGCAAATACTTGGTCATTTACCCCATTTACTATCCAAACGCCCTGCTTGCCGGCCTTCCCAACTCCTCCCTCCACAGGCTGCAGATAATGCAGAACTCTGCAGCCCGTGTCCTCTCCTGCACCAAACTCCGTGACCCCATCTCCCCCACTCTCACCCGACTCCATTGGCTCCCTATCCTTCAGAGGATCCAGTTCAAGATCCTGATCCTCATCTACAAAGCCCTCCATGGCCTCGCCCCACCCTACCTCTGCGACCTCCTAACCCCCTACCAACCCGCCTGTTCCCTCCACTCAGCCGGCTCTGGCCTGCTCCATGTCCCCCAACCCACCCGCCCCACCATTGGTGGGAGAGCCTTCAGCCACTCTGCCCCCAACCTCTGGATTCCATCCCCCAATCATTCCACGTCGCCCCCTCCTTAGCCTCCTTCAAGTCCCGCCTCAAGACCCTCCTCTTCGACCATGCCATCGGCCACCCCCCTTCCCCTCTCTCCCCCCGACCCCAGCTCGGGTCTGAAATGCTGTACACTGTCCAGCGCCTTGGGACGTCCTCCTGACGTGAAAGGTGCCATACAAATGTAATCTTGTTGTTGTTAAAAATTGTATTTACATAGATATTAGAGTCAGGCTGTGATAACACCTTACAAACTTCTAATTTAAAAAAAATAAATTAATGTACGCTATTCAGAAGGCAGGCAGCGGGGGAGGGGGGAGTGGGGTGTGGAGCAAGGAGAGAAAAATTAGATTGTACTATGAGCCTGAAGGTTAAAATAGCTGAAAAATAACACCAAATGAAGCTTCAAATGAAAGCACTTTTGTTTCTAATAATATTACTGTTTGATTTAAGCTTTTTAGATGACAATCACCAGTTAAACTGGTCTAATTTCTGACATCCATGTTGTTCATGTTTTTTAACCTCACTTGTCAGCACAGTCCTTGAGCAGTCACAATTGCAAACAAGAGCACATTGGTAAAATAGAAACATATATATATATATTCTTATTAAATGTTTACGGCAGAGCTTTCAATTTAACTTAGCCTCAGTCACAATGAAAGTAGCCTGCAGGAGTTTCCAGGTTCTGTCAGAGATTTATATTCACAGATCTTGACTCCAGACCAGGCGCCAGCTGATAAACAAACAATTTAAATCAAGAGCCACACGATCCCCATATCCTAAATTTTATGGTGTTGGAGAGGTAATTTACAACTTAGCTTCATTTTTCCACCAAGTTCTAAGTTGAGTAAAACTGTCATTAACTCAACTTAGATGTCTCTGAAGTAATCCCAGCATTTGATGTGTACAATACCAGACATTTCCATAAATCAATGCAAGTTTGATGCGATCATATGAACATCTACTATTCAGGGATTAGATTCTGCTATATCAGAAATAGCAATGATGAGAAAATAATACCGAAGTAAACAGAAACCATTTCAACCTCCAAAATGCAATTTAAAAACAATTTGACAGATCAAAATGAGGTGAAAACAGGAATTATTTCCTTCTTAAAGCTCCCCTTATGTTCTTATTCCCACAAACTTTTCCTCTCCCTTTTTTCTTATGGCATTTAACTCCTTTTTCCTTCTACTAGGATAAGGTTCCAGGGGTGCCTGTCACCCTATGGTATCAGTCATGTGTGACCTTTGACAGGGGAATCTATTTGTCTGCTGGGGGCAGGGACAATCACAACCAACCCTGACTCTATCCTCACCCAAAGTCCAGACACATGCACTTTCCATTAGGGATCACTTGACAACGATCTCTACTGAATTCCGTAACACAAGGCCCTGATAAAAGAAATTGCAACTTTTCCTTGGCAAAGACCAACTAATTCAGATCAGGATTTGAACTGATGACCTTGCTACATATAAATCCTTTATATTACTAGTTACCCTATATAAAGAAACAAGCAAACATTCTACTATACTATAAAATATTATTGCCTTTTAAAATCCATTATTACTTATTCCAAGGGAAGAATAACTGTCTTATTTTCAGAAATTTGGAAACATCTCCTCTAAATCCTCTAAAAGAGAGAACATTATTGGGACCTTGGTTAATAATAATAATAATCAGCTGTTGAACCCAACTATAGTGGATCTAACTAGACAACTGGCAAACTTCTTGTTATATCAGGCAGTGAATTTATTATTAATAATAATTATTAATCCTTACATTTAATATAGTTCATTTTGAGATGTCTCATCACATCATTGAGACATTTCAAAGTGCTTCACAGAATACACAGTAAAATAAAATAACTGTATTTTGTGGTCGAAACACTAGCCAGTACAAATGTTAGTTTTATTTCCCAGGTAATAACACAGACTTAACATGGTTAACAACTACCAAAACATGCAGTTACACTGTAAGACAGATTGTGGTAAAATAAGAGGAAGCCAGCATGAGGTGTGAAAACAGAAGCAATAGAAAGCCACTTGACCCATCAAGTCTCCTTTGTTATTTTGTTCATTAATGGCAACTCTTCTCTTTCTGATTTAATTTTCCCAGCTTTCTTCATTCCTCTAATACTTTCATTTGCTAAGAACCTTGGAAGACATCCTCCTAGGCTCCCACCAACATCTCCTAACTTCTGGCTCTAATCTCCTAGATCTTCCCGGTCTCTCGCTCAAAAATTCACTTGAACTAGCTTACAACCATGGTGTAGAGTTCAATCCTCAGCACTTCTTTCTCCCTCACATCTGGGCTCTGACCACGACCTTTTGTTTACCTTTTCTTTCTTGCGTTTTGGCGACAAAATAGTCAATTCACTTTACATTATATTCTCTGAAGCCCTTTGAGACATCTTGAAGACGTGATAAGGCACTATATCAAATGATGTCCTGTTATCACAGCCATTAAAAAAAAGCATTTTTTTATTGGAATTGGATATCTCATTTACAAAATTATATCCATACCGATAGATTGAAGGTTAGTATTCTGTAGTTTAGTGCTCTGGATAGAATGAATATTTAATGAAAACTGGGAACCAGCCACGATAAAATCACCAGGGAATCACTTTAAGCAGCAAAACCCCATTGCCCAAGTGAAAAAAATAACTACCTTTAATCTACCATTATTGTGAACATGTAGATGTCAGAGCTCCAAGAAACTACACCATGTGAAGGATACTATATAAATGGAAACAGTTCTTGTTGTAGATGTGTATAAACATGATAGAAATGAGGAAAGCTGGCCACTGTTACAATATTTATAGTTAGCAGCACTCTTAGTATTTCTACGCCTCAAAAAGCTGTATTTAAAATCTTCCATAGAAAATTAAGGAAAAAGATCAATTTGCCTCACTTAGAAGCAATTAAATGGAAAAAATGCAGCTTTCCACATCTGAGAAATTCCATCAAGAAATTAGAATTTTACTTCAGGTCTCGCCTGTGGTTTGTGATCTTAATAAATCAGAAGATTAATTTTAACCCAGAAATGAACAGTAGAGATTTTTTTTTAGAAAGAAGGAATTGTCGAAGTAAACAGTTTGAAATTCAATTGAGTAAGGATGAGGGGGGAGGAAGAGCAAGTGGGATGGTGAAGGAGCTTCAGAGGAACAAGGGCAAAAGTTTAAAAATAATAGACCAGCCAGACACGATGCACAAATGACCTCCTTCTCTCCTGCAAACATTCTACAATGGATAGCAACTACTATTGACACAAAGTGTTGAACTCTTCCCCAATGATTTAAAACCAACACTGTGCTAGAAAGGCTAATGAAATATTTCGATACTTTCAAAAGAAAGTGTATCAGTTATTTCTTGAAGAGACCTACCACCAGATACTGGTGCATCCATGAACAGCGCTCCCATTTTTTCTGCTGTTTTGGCCAATCCCTTAGAAACTGAAGGGTCAATAGTGCTGGAATCTATTAACAATGAACCCTTCTTTAGCTTCCTGCAAAAAAAATAAAATTGAAGTTAATTTGGGGGCAGGGGAGAAAAATCTGAAAAGCACCCTTATACCAGAAATAATAATATGATGTTTTGATTTTGGCAGGCAGGGTGGGGGAGAAAAGCTGTGCATCTTGTGGTGGTGTGTATCAATATTATTTATATTACACCTCTATCACTTCCATTGATACTGTACATAGACCTAAACACTCTTTCCATGCGAGGCAGAGATTTACATGCGTCTTCCTCAATCTCCAATTAGGTAAATACCTAAAGGGGTGATAACTACAGGGGTAAAGTGAAAAGGGTAGCTAAACGGGACTTGAAAGGATTGTTCTTAAAAGCCAACACACACTTCTTGCGCATAGCACAGAGTTAGCATCACTGGTAGTGACCTGGAAGTTATTTCTTTGTAGCACAGGAAGTCAGTCAGCACGGCTTCAGCTGGCTTTTAATGCACATGTGCAGAATGCATAAATTCTAACCAGCAATTGCACCCTGTTGCAACACTTGTTGGTATATGGTGGACACCAACTATAGCAATATAACATGCTATTGTAACTGGAAGTTGTGGTTGTAAAATAAAACATAAAGCCAAATCTCAGGAGCTAGGGTCATAGAGCCTTGTAACTAATCCAATATAAAACGTTGAACTCAATTTGAAGCCAATAACATAAATAATTGTAACTTACTTCTATGAAAATTTCAATTTTAAAACCTAACAAAATTTCTACGGCGGTAAAAGTGAAAAGATGTGGAAATTAAAACACTTAAAATAATTGTTTTATAAATATACAAACTTCTTATGTACAGCAAGCAATAAAATGCAACTCATTACTACCAAATATCCGTGTGCACAATGGCCACATTGTATTACGACCAACGTACACTGATTAAAATACAATTTCAAACAGAAAAGTGAAATACCTACTTGAAAATCCCATTTGAACCATGATAAACTTCAATCACATTAGGGCTTGATGGCAACATAGTTATAATTCTATCAGCTCGATCAGCCACATCACCAGGAGAATCCATGATCTACAAAAATGAAAAATAGATGAAAGTGCTTTTCTAGGGAGCAATAAAGGATTCCTCAGATTGGTAATTGGCTCAAAAGTAATTAGGGGTGTAACCAGTACATCAGGCAAGCTGTATTTAATGGTGGCACTCACTTTAAATGTAATCTACACAAGCTAATATAATTTTTTAAAAAAGAAAATAATAGACTTGCCAGATTCCTTGCTATAATGAGAATATACAATTACAAACTGGAGCGCACCTTAAATACAACAACAACTGTCACTTACATGGCACCCTACACGCAGGGTAGGGTCTCAGAGCACTTAACAGTGGCGGAGCCTGACTCCGAGCCAGGGGAGTGGGGGTGGTGCACACTCGAAAAGGAAGGTTTTCAGGCAGGACTTGAAAAAGGGGAGAGAGGGAACAAAGCAGAGGAATTGAAGGAGTGTTCCAGAGTTTTGCGGTATAGTGGCTGAATGCGCAACCTCCAATGGTGGAGTGGAGGGTGCGAGGAACAAGTAGGAGGCTGGTGCCAGTCGTGCGGAGGCCCCAGATGGTGGATTGGAGAATGTGGAGGTTGGAGAGATAAGGAGGTGCCAGGGTGTGAATGGATTAATGTAATAAATGGAAGCAGAAGATACAAGCTATTGTCTGTAGAGACTATGGTTAATGATCTTGCTCCTACGATTGCTTTTAACTTTACAAGTTTAAAATGACCTCATCTCAAAAGAGATTTGAATGAACGGGAACCCTTTGGACCTTGACCTTATGCAATTCTTTCAGAATACCAGCCCACTGCAACATCAAGATGTTTGTTAAACATATCCAGTACCTGGACCTCAACAATCCTTCCTGATACTGTTGATTAGGTTAAGAAATCATTTCAGATATGTGTCCTAAAATTGTCCTGTACAATCCTGAACCTGTTGCCTACTGTTCTCCTTTGGTATAAATAAGTGTTGTTAATTTACTTTCCATAGTCCATTATGTTTTTAACTATGTAATTCAAGACATTCTTGTTATTACAGCTTGTAAAAATAGTGTACATTATATTGTGTAATCAGTTGGATTTTTCCAGCGGGAATGATTTGAAAATTGAACTAATACAGAAGGATTATTGTTATGGCAGTAATTAAGACTACTTCCTAATTTCTAAAACAAAATATGTTCCTTTAAATTTGTTGTTAACAGAGGGACATCAGTCTCTAAAAAAAATTAAATTGAATAGACAGAAAATCCAGATAGCCATTTACAATTTGTAATAATCCACTTAGTAGCCATTAAATGGCTCCTAATTCTGCAGATTAGTGTTAGATCAATGTTAATTCCATATAGCATGTACTGGAGTTTGGCCTATACCAAATGAGAGATGCAACAACAATAATGTACGTTTATATAGCACCTCTCAAGTTAGGAGGGGCTCTAAAACACTCTGAGCCTGAGATGGAGGGAGCTGAGGAGGATGGGACTTTATGACTACTTTTTAGAAAGTAGTCATAAAGGTTTATGGCAAAATAAGTATCCCCTGCATTGGAGGTCTAACCACCACACTATTAATGTGTAGTGGTTTTCCTACCAAATGAGTCAGTACATTGTATTTGCGATTCTCACCATTATACTTTCTCCCTCTATTACAATAGTCTTGTGTAGCATCAGTACCAGTAATTAATGAAGAACAAAAATCTTAAAGAATAGCATTCTTGAAAGTAAAGACCCATGTGCAAAAATATCTTCATAGTATGGTTATGAAAATAATTTAATGGTCTTCAAAGAAAGTCTGCTGAAGATTTTTCAGATTTGTATTGATCTCTAGTAGGGATATATGTACAGTTTGTTACTCAGTTACAAAATGTGTTCTGGTCAGACTAGTAAATTGAATTCTAGACTAACTTTCTGGTATTAGCTAAAATCGCTGTCAAGTACAGTACCCTCTTGTCATTTTCACTGTGGTATCCTGGCCAACAACCCCCAAATATAATTGGTGATTAATTTTATGGCTGTTTGAGGGACATCACTGTGCACAAATTAGCTGCCACATTTAACTATAAATACAAACTCGCTATGATTCAGAATAAAATCCTGTGAGGTACTTTGAGACGTCTTGACAACTTTATATCAAATGCAAGAATTATTATTTACTTTTTGCTAATTGCTAATCACTAATCTGTTCAAATTGGAGGTATATTGTACATCAAGGGAAGAAACTACTTTATGTGTTGTTACCATTTTAATTTTACCTGTGCTCCTAAATCTTGTAGTTCCTTGCATGACTCAGGGAAGACATCAGAAGCAACAACCGGATAGCCATGCTTTATCAGGTTCTTTGCCATTGGGTTACCCATGTTGCCAAGCCCAATAAATCCCACTGGGGTTTTAGAGGCCATTGACCTAGAAGACACTATCAAATGCAAGCATGTTAGCAATGAGAGATTAATATACAACAACAACAACTTGGGATTTATATAGCGCCCTCAACGCCGGACCGCGTCTCAGAGCGCTTTACAGTTTAGGATCCCGGGACCATGCGGGGGGAGGGGTGGGAAGGTGACCAAAGGCGCGGTCGAAAAGAAAGGTCTTCAGCAGAGACCTGAAAATGGGAAGGGAGGGAGTGAGACGAAGGGAGAGAGGAAGGCAGTTCCAGAGCCTTGGGGCATAGCAGCTAAAGGCACGGCCACCGAGGGTGGAGCGGAGGACTCGAGGGACAAGGAGGAGGCCTGACCTGGAGGAACGAAGGCAACGGATACTGTGCTGAGGAGAGAGGAGGTCAGAGAGATAGGGGGGTGCAGAGGAGTGCAGGGACTTGAATACAAGGGTGAGGATCTTGAAATCAATCCTCTCTGGGATAGGGAGCCAGTGCAGTCTGGCAAAGACTGGGGTGATCGGGGAGCGGAGTTTCATGCGGGTGAGAATGCGGATGGCAGTGTTCTGAATGAGTTGGATTTTATGGATGGTAGTGGAGGGGAGACCGGCGAGGAGGGCATTTGAATAGTCCAGCCGAGAGGTGACAAAGGCATGGACCAGAGTTTCAGCGGCTTTTGGGGAGAGGTATTGGCGGAGACAGGCGATGCGTCGGAGGTGGAAGAAAGCGGTGCTGGTGAGGGACCGGATGTGGGGGAGGAAGGATAATTGGGGGTCGAACCTGACGCCTGGGTGGGGAAGGGTTCGGAGAGTTTTAGGGGGAGGTCGTGTAGGTGGAGGAGATGAGAACCGTGAGATTTTAGACATTGACGAGAGCCAAAGAGTATGGCTTCCGTCTTGTCAACTTTCAGCTAAAAGAAGTTTGCGCTTGTCCAGCTCGAGATCTGACAGGCAGGCTGACAGAACATCAGGGGCCTGGGGGTCGCAAAGAGAGGTGGAAAAGTAGAGTTGGGTGTCATCTGCATACATGTGGAAATGTACGCCATGTCTGCGGATGACATCCCCAAGAGGGAGCATATAGATCAGAAAGAGGAGGGGGCCAAGGATGGAACCTTGGGGTACCCCACAGGTGACCGGGTGAGAGCAGAAGGAGAAGCCATTTGTGCAGATATACTGCTGGCGGTTTGTGAGGTAGGACTCGATCCAGGCGAGTGCGGTCCCACTGAGATGGATGACGGAGGAAAGGCGGTGGAGGAGGATGGCGTGATCGACTGTGTTGAACGCGGCAGAGAGGTCCAGGAGGACAAGGAGGCAGAGGAAGCCCTGGTCACAGATAGAAAGGATGTCGTTTGTGACTTTCACAAACGCAGTCTCTGTACTGTGGGCGGAAACCGGACTGGAGGGGTTCGAAGAGGGAGTGGGAGGAGAGGTGAGTGCGAAGTTGGTTTGCAACAACGCGTTCTAGAACTTTTGAGAGGAAGGGCAGGTTAGAAATGGGGCGGTAATGGCTGGGGTTTGAGGGATCTAGGAAGGGTTTTTTCAGGAGGGGGTTGATGACAGCAGTTTTGAGGGAGGCAGGGACTGATCTGGAGGAGAGGGACTGGTTGATAATGTCAGCCAGTAGTGGGCAGAGGAGGGGGAGCTGTGTAACCAGTAAGTCGGTGGGGAGGGGGTTGAGACAGCAGGTGGTGGGTTTCATGGAGATGATGGTGGGTGAGAGGGAAGAGAGAGAGTTGGGGAAGAAAGAGTGTAGAATGGGGGTGGTGGTAGGAGCAGATGATGAGGGGAGTGAGGGGGACAGAGAGGGTGTGGTGAAGGGTGACAAGGGGCAGGTGGATGAGGCTGCCTGGCGGATGTTCAGTATTTCAGTTGAAAAGAAGTCCATGACCTCCTCGTACTTGGCATTTGATACAAAAATTGAGGAGGTCTGAGGGGGGGCACGGAGGAGGTAGTGGGTAGTGGAAAAAAGGATTTTGGGGTTGTGTTTAGCCTCCAAGATGATGTTGGCGTAGAAAGCCATTTTTGCGCGTGTCAAAGAACGGCGGTAGCTGTGGAGATGCTCGAGCCACAGTTGGCGGTGAACTGTCAGTGCAGTTTTCCGCTATCTGTGCTCGAGCAAACGGGTTTGGGTTTTTTAGCGGCGGAGATGGTTGTTGTACCAGGGGAATCGGGTGCGTTTGGAGATGGTCCTGGATTTTAGGGGGACGAGGGAGTTGAAAGTGGAGGAGGCAATCATGGAGCAGCTGGATGGTTGCTTCAGGATCTCCACGGGTGGAAGGCCAGACGGATAGGATGCATGAAGATGAGAGGGCCTCTGTGAGGGTCTCAGGGCGTAGTCTTTTCCAAGGGCGATAGAGGATGGTTGAGGGATTGGTGGAGGAGAGAGGGATGTGAGAGGAGAAGGAGATGACAAAGTGGACCGAGATGGCCTTGTCCACTATGCTGAGGTCAGAAATGTCAAGGCCATGGGTGATGATGAGGTCAAGGGCATGACCATGGTTGTGGCTAGGTGAGTTTATAAGGAGGATAAGGTTTAGGGAGTAGAAGAGGTCAGTGAAATCGGCAGAAGTGGTGCAGGGGGAGTTTAGGTGGAGGTTGAAATTGCCCATTATGAGTAGGTGCTCGGAGCAGAGGGTCAGGGAAGAGAGGAGAGTAGAGATGTCTGTGTGGAAGGAGCCGGGGGGCGGTAAACAGGAGGATTTTCAAAGGGAGAGAGGGGTGGAAAAGGGTGAGGTGCTCGAAGGAGGGGAAGCAGCCAGAGGAGTAGGGGGTGAGACCAAGGGAAGCTTTGAAAATGAAGGCCACCCCGCCGCCACATTGGTTTGGACAGGGGATGTGGTGGAAGGTATAGCCTGGAGGGGCAGCTTCTACTAGGGAGACGGGGTCATTGGGGGAGAGCCAGGTTTCGGTGAGCCCAAGAATATCAAGGTGCTCGTCCAGGCTGAGGTCGTGGATGGTGAGGGCTTTATTTGAGAGGGAACGGACATTTTGGAGGGAAATGCGGGTGGGTTTGCTGGAGTGGGGGGGAGGGAGGAGAGAGTGATTTTGGGTTGTATAGGAGAGATGGTTGTGGAGAATGGTATGAGTGGAGAGTTGGGAGGGTACGTATGAGGGAAGGGGTAGTTGGGTTTGCCTTAAGGAGGCGGTTTGAGCAGAGGGAGTGAGGGATGGGACACATGGGTTTGCTGCTCTGGGACAGCCAGTGCCGGGAGCCATGATGGGCCCAGTAGAGGATGCCCAGGCTGGAGCAGAGGGAAGTGGTGATGGGGTCGAGGAGAGAGAGAAGGCGGGGTGGGCGGTGGGAGAGAAGGACAGAGGGGGAGTAGAGGATAGAGGGGGATGGGAGGAGAGACATAGAGGAGGGTGAGAGGAGAGACATAAAGGGGAGTGAGAGAGAGACATTTCACATTTTATCACTTCAAACCAAAGTTTATAAAAAAAATTCTTAATGCACAATAAACACATTGACCATAACAACAACAACTTACATTTATAAAGCAGCCTCATTCAGAGTAGCATCCCAGAGCATTTAATAGTGGCCGAGCACAATGCCTTATCTATTTATCCAGACAGCAACAAATTACATTTGTATAGCGTCTTTCATCCAGAGGACATCCCAAGGCGCTGGACAGTCACGGATCCACACCCAAGCTGGTGGTTGAGATCAAGAGAGGTGGAGGGCGGGGAGGGTAGGGGTAGGAGGGTGACTAAAGGCATGGTCGAAGAGGAGGATCTTGAAGGAAGCAAGGGAGGGACTGTGGGATGGAGTTTCAGAGGGAGTGGGCAGAGAGGCTGAAGGCTTTCCTGCAAATGGTGGGGTGGCAAAGCAGGGGACTTGTTCACAAAGGGTTATTTAAACTGCTCTGTAGGTGGACCGCTGATATAGTTGGTTCTGGGATTCGGATGTAAATTCATCCCAAATGATTGGTTAGAAATCCTCTTGCTAACACAGCACTCAAGCCCCCCAAGTAAAATGAGTCTGACCAGCCTTAGACAACTCTTTGATATATTGTGTTTTTTTTGTTCAGCAGTTGTTTAACTCGGCCATCAACACACTTAAAGAGAATCCAAACCAGACTAAATATTCCACCTATGTATGCTACGTACACATGGAAAATTCTTTTACCTAAAAGTAAAAGTGCACACTCTGCCAGGAAAAATAAGCCCTGGTTATACAATAATAGAAAGCAGGTGATATTAGCAAGAGACAAGGCTTGGGAACCAGAGTGTGCTTTGGACTACAGTTTATGTTTAACCAGTGATGGTGCCTAGCAAGCTTTCTGTTCGATTTTTGGCTTGCAGGGTTAACAGGAAATGAATGAGAAGAATCCCTGCCCCTCCAAGTCCTGCCGATGAGCCAGACTGGTTCACCATCAACAGTGCCTTGGATTACTGTGGATCCATCTGGCTCAAGAACTGGAGCCGTCAAAAGAGGATCAATTCAATTTTAACATTCCATTGCCAGGTATATCCACTTGGAGCAAGCTCAGTCCCAAAGAGATCTTGCTCTCGGGTGGGGAGACATAAGCTTACAATTATATAACACCCTTTACGTCCATAGATGGGATTGGACGCCAAGGAAGGGAGAGGTAAGAAGGGAGATGTGAACATAGGCATGGTCAAATATGACTTTCTCTTAATGCAGCGGGACAAAAAGCCATTGATTTGGGAAACATTCATTTTGATGGCTTTCACTGTCACTAATGGGGCAGTCTCAATTGTGGACTTTGCTGCATATCTTGGTCAGTCTTGCCAAAAAACTTAAGGCTCCCCGATGATGTCAAGGTACCTGAGTTTGGCAGATAATTTCTGAATTTCACAACTATGTCCCCGCTCTTGAAAGTTGCGCGGCCTACGGTTTGCTTAACAAGCTCAATTAATCTTTTTCTTCTCTGTTGCTTAAAGATTTTAACTCCAGTTTCTAAGGGTAGGAATTCAGAGACTAGTTCTAAAAATGGTTAATTCTTCTGTTGGTGTAATAATAATCTTTGATTTGATATAGTGCTTTATCATGTTGTTGAGTTGCCTCAACGCCTTTCACAAAATCTACTGTCAAGTGACTGTATATTCTATGGGCGAAATGCAGCAGCCAATTGAACACAGCAGCATCTCACAAACAGTCATGGACTGAGTGACTACTTTTTTGTTTTTAAAAGGGATTATTACCCCCAGTGAAAGTGATCTGCCAATTGACTAACAACCAGGTTCCTAGGTAAACTTCTATCAAATGCAAGGATTATTATTATTACTTCCTGACATTCGGTATCTGTTTACCCCCAGTGACAGTTGGTAAAATTAGAGAGCACGGTAATGCCAGACTCTAAATTAATGGGCTTAGCTGATAATTGGATTTTGAACAGAGAAATCAATTAGAATTAGTGAAGTCCTCTGCCAGCTGAAAGTATTACAACTTCTTGAGACATCACTGCATATTGTGGCCAATCAAATTCAACTTTGGATGATGCGATCAGACACTGCCATTGTCCAAATACGTAAATTATTTCTGAACTGCAAACTACTGTAGTAAAGAAAGCATCGTGCTGTTCTCAAACCATCAAATTTGCCCATTGGTTAAGCCAGTACTGGACTTTTTAACTGAATACTTGAACCCACTGCATTGGGTAAATGTTTTGTTCGGTGCAGAGTGGGATGTATTTTGAAAAAAACACTGTTGTTGTATAGGGATGCCAACTATAATGTGCACAATTCACAGAAACGTTCACAGACCAAGCGCAGGAAGCAGCTCACATGTAGGAGTAACAAAAAACAATGGGGTATTTAAAATGTTATGCAGTAACTAATTAGGTTCTGCATAACTGTAATGTTAAAATAAACAAAATAATAATATAATTTGTTAGTTATTTAGTTTGCAGACAACAAGTTCAGTTGACTAAATAATGTAACCTATTAAAAAGAAAAATATCAACAAATAGTCTTCAGAAAGACATGACATTACTAATAACATTGACATTTGTAATGATAATCACCGTAAAAAATATTTTAACTTTGGATAGACTAATAATTTGGGTGTAACAGTACTAAGTTTGGCCTGCACTGCGAAATTCCTACAAAGACTGAGTGAGGATGCGTATCTGTACTCCAGAGATGGCGAAAATTAATTACTATGGATACAAAAAAAGTAGCCCTTGAAAACCTCAGCAGATACGAAAGTGACAGAGTGATCAGAACAGATCTCAAAATGTAACAATGTCAATCCTGTACCAACTTCAACCAGGAATTCGATACTTCCACAGGGAATGACAAAAAAAAATGAAATGTGTTTAATAAGCACTGCAAAAGCCTTGTGCTTCCTTTCCAAGTAAAATGGGGACTTTCTGAAGCAGTGTTTTACCTTCAAAAACATAGGCAGTATTTGCATCCGAAAAGCGACACATCTTAGCGGACACCGCCACAGTAATGACTTTCTGATCATTTCACTCTCTATCGCAGAAGTAAAGTGCCGCTTCGAGCAGCATCAGCAGCACCGAAAGAAACCCACCAAACTGCACTGGTGCACAAATGCCCACCCACACAGCACGTTATACGCCATTGCAAAAGGAGAGATGTTCGGCTGTCACTGCCCCGATGGTTTCGGGTCACCTTCCAAATGTGCACTGGGGCGCAATAAGAGAGGAAAGAAAAATGTAGACCGGCGAATCCTTGCAAATTTTGCACCGCGTCGACGTGCAACAGAAACGCCCTCAAGTCTTCCCACTCAGGTGGCGCCTGTTTACACCTGACCTGAGGGGTGCAATCCTCAGTGCAGTGGATATCCAGGCTTCAGGCTGACACTCCCCCCCCCCCACTCCTTCCTCCTGACACCCCCCCCACTCCCCTCCTCCTGACACCCCCTCTCTCCCCTCCTCCTGACACCCTCCCTCTCCCCTCCTCCTGACACCCCCTCTCTCCCCTCCTCCTGACACCCCCCTCCCCTCCTCCTGACACCCCCTCTCACTCCCCTCCTCCTGATACCCCCCCCTCCTCCTGACACCCACTCCCCTCCTCCTGACACCCCCTCTCTCCCCTCCTCCTGACACCCCCCCCACTCCCCTCCTCCTGACACCCCCTCTCTCCCCTCCTCCTGACACCCCCCCCTCTCCCCTCCTCCTGACACCCCCTCCCACTCCCCTCCTCCTGACACCCCCCTCCTCCTCCTGACACCCACTCCCCTCCTCCTGACACCCACTCCCCTCCTCCTGACACCCACTCCCCTCCTCCTGACACCCCTCTCCTCCTCCTGACACCCCTCCCACTCCCCTCCTCCTGACACCCCCTCCCCTCCTCCTGACACCCCCCCTCCCTCCTCCTGACACCCCCCCTCCCTCCTCCTGACACCCACTCCCCTCCTCCTGACACCCCCCTCCTCCTCCTGACACCCCCCCCTCCTCCTCCTGACACCCCCCTCCCACTCCCCTCCTCCTCCTCCTGACCCCCCCCTCCCGACCCCTCCCCTCCCGACCCCTCCTCCCGACACCAGCCCCTGTGCAGGAGCTGCCAACTGAAACCAGCGCTTCTTTCCAATCGAGAGGCCAATACCTTACCAGTGACGTGACGGACATAGCTGCTGCATTTCAGCAAGAAGCCCGCGGACCTCCTGATGATGGTCGCCATGCTTCAGCCTCCCCGACCCGCTCCTCCTCCCCTGTGGCAGCCTATCCCTGTCAGCGCCGGCGGAAGTCAGGGCGGGGGGGGGGGGTGTGGGGGGGGGTCGATCTCTGATTGACAGCTGGAGACACCAGTCCTCGGGGGGGCCCTGCACAGGGCAGGCGGGACCAGCTCTCTCTCCATCCAATCAGCAGCGCACGCGGTGCCCCCACTCCCCACTCCCCGCCGCCGCCGCCGCCGCTCGCAGTCTCCCCGTCTCCCCTCTCTCCGCGCTGATACATTGCGCAACTTCTCCTTCCTCCCAGTCTGCAAGGTCAGCGAGAGCAGGGGAGGGGGAGCAGGGGGGGGGAGAGCAGGGAGGGAGGGGGGGGGAGCAGGAGGGGGAGGGCGGGGAGAGCAGGGAGGGGGGGAGAGAGCAGTGGGGGGCGGGGAGAGCAGGGGAGGGGGAGAGCAGGGGGGAGAGCAGGAGGGGGGGGCGGGGAGAGCAGGGGAGGGGGGAGAGCAGGGGGGGAGAGCAGGAGGGGGGGCGGGGAGAGCAGGGAGGGGGGGGGGGGAGAGCAGGAGGGGGGGGGCGGGGAGAGCAGGGGAGGGGGCTTGGCTCGGCTTCTTTGCTGCGTGCAATTTATTAAGTTGCATGTTGTCAAAGGTCAACGCTTTCGGACGTCCTCCCGAATCAAAGGCGACGTAGAAGTGTAGATTGTATTGTAAATTGTACTATGTTAGTAATAATATTAAGATTATTTAATTTGAGTTCTGATTCTTAACCCTCAAGACTCCAGAAATCACGTATTATAAATCACAGTGTTAAAATGCACCTGAACATCTGTTGACACAAAACATCAGTCTCACTCCAGCCACAATTTCTACTCATCCACAATGATTGTGTGTAGGATCTGAGATGTCTTTCTCTCTCCCATATTCCTCCATGTTTTATTCCATCGCTGGATGGTTTGGTCTTTCTTTCTGCTCTTTAGCTCGCATTTTCTCCCACTCAATAAATCCAAGTTCATAGTATGAATGCGACCTACACATAGAATTTCCCGGTGTCTCGAATGGAATATGGACTCTCTCCCTTGCTAATTCCAGAAAGTATTAGGCACAGGTTGGCAAAGCCAAGGATTGAGAACCCCAGAGTGCATGTTACAGGCAATGTTGGAGTTTAACCAACTAAAATTACATAGCCTGCAATTGAGAACACTATTTGGCAAGCTTCCTCTTGTTTGTCCAGCTAGGACCACCAAAGCTATTAGGGCTTGGGCTTACAGAGTTAACAAAAACAGAGATGGGGGTGTGGGGAGATGGAGTGATATCAAAAGAAAGTTCTAGAAAATGGAGGCAAAGTGGCTGAAAGCTTACCTGTCGATAGTGGGGCAGAATTGGTGATGCTTTGAAGTATCGTGGAATTGGAGAAGCAGATGAACTGGCCAAGGAACTAGGGTGACAGGAGATTGTAAAGGTAGATTGGGCCAAGCCATGGAGATATTTCAAGGTAAGGATAAGGATCTTAAATGTATCTGTTGAGGGAGAGGGAGCCAGGGGAGCTGTGGAGAAGTGAGATCATGGAACCCAGCGGGGGAGCATTTATGAGCTTCAGAGTTCTATATGCTTTATCTGTTTACCCACAACCTCACTGTTTGATCCAGAACTTTGCAAGTGGGCAAGAGGAAGCCACTTTTCTGAATGCCCAAGTGCTCAAAATCATAAATGAGTATTGGGAGCAGGAAAATGGTGGCAATACTTTCATGCATTTCATGCTGAGCTGTGTTGCCCAACAGAAAGTTGGCACATGTGATCTCCGAGTGAGGTTTCAAGCCCGCACTTCTCTCATGCCAAATGACCAATTATCAACTATCCTCCTGGGGGGAGGTAAATGGGGTCTCCATGGAGCTGAACTGGCTCCAAGGTGACATGTTTGGCAATGAAATGTCAGCATTGAATCAACCTCTCAGCAATCTCAGTTGTGTGATTCCTGAGCCAGGCGGGTCTCCAGGGCACTGCTGATGACAGTACAGCCAGCCTGGCTCATTCGCAGTACATGGAGGGGCAGACCAGTCACTGGGGGAAGAGATTTTTCCTACTCACCTCCTATTAACTTTGCAAGCCAAAGCCCTAACTGGTTGGGTGGTTCTGGTTGGACAAGCAGTGGGAAGGTTATCAAACAGTGTTTTCAATTGCAAGCTATCCAGTTTTAGCATTACCTGTTACACATACTCTGATGTCCCTAACTCTTGGTTCTGTGCCTAATACAGAGTGACCAAAAAGTCATGATAACTACCCCACTATCTTAAAAAACAAAATTTTATCATAATTTTGTTCAGATCTATTAGACTTTGTAATGGTATCATGACTTTTTGGTCACCCTCTACAATTTGGAAGTACTCTAGCAGAATGCATCCCTTCAGGGAGAAGTGCAATTTGCATTCCAATACAAAGGAATTTCTGTGTATAGGTGGGATGCATGGAACTCTCAATTTGGTTTGAATACTCTTAAGCATAGTTTCCGCATGTGCCAGACACCCGGCTGGCATATCTGGCATAAGGACTGGCACCTGCTGATCTGGTCATTCTTAGATACAGTGTAAGTTGCACAATCATAACTACTTGCATTTAAATAGCACCTTGTAAGTAGAGTGAATAGGAATGTTCAGCACACTGCTGGAGCTTCTAATAAATGGAAATGGAGAAAATATGTGTTACTGCTTGCAGGAGGGCATGGCTACACCGAAAAAACAAAACTTGCACAACAGTTTTAACAAAGAAAGAGTTTATTTTGATTATCTCTTCATATCCGTCAACTCCAGATTTCCCTCCCTTCTAACTAACCCACGGCTTTATACCTAGTGCTCAATTAGCCTTTGGGGCTGGTGCCAAATTATCACTGGAACTCCAGTCAAGCCTGAATGGAGTCCAACTCCTGTTAGCTTCCTTTGCACATAGGTTGAGTGCCAATAACCATAAAAGGCAGTGACTGGGTTTAGGATGTCATATTTTTATGAAAATTTATATTTATATTGCACCTTTTACCTTAAACTGCTTTACCTAAGATTAATTAGTTGTTGGTTGGTAGGCAAACACCCTGTAGGCTAATTTGTATCAGAAGCATCCTATGTACAATAATGAGATGAATAGACCTTACATTTTGGGGATGAATTTGGATGTGAAAGGGATATAAACTACAATAAGCAGGAGAACCTCAAAATAATTAAGTATCTATAGGCATTTAATTCAGATGGCACATTCCCTGAAATCTGCAATGAAATGTGAGAGGAAATAAATTAGATTCTGGCGAATATTTTTAGGAACTCCATAAAAAATCTTAACCTTAAGGAATGGAGGAGGGCAAATGTTATATCTCATTATTCAAGAAAGGAGTAAGACATCAACCTGAAAATTATAAACTATTATGAATGCCAGACCTATTTTAATTTTTTTCCACAGATACTATGATATAGGACATGTTTTAAAAAGGTCTTAAAATATGAACTTCTAATAAACATGTTATGACAATAAAACCTGTTTTACTAATTACTGTATTCCCCTTTACATTTATAATTGTCAAAAACTGTAGATGCTAAAATTCTGCTAAATTATGACAAAGAATTGTTTTAATGTGAGGAGGTTTGCAGAAGACGATAGGAGGTCATAGATAAGTTAGCGGAGTGGGAAGTTAAGCCAATGCAGAAAATAAACAATAATCCTTAATAATATTTGCATTTGTTATGGTGCCATATCATGTCAGAAGGACGTCTCAAAGCGCTTCACAGGATTTACTGTGAAATGAAGTGACTGTGTATTTGTAGGCAAATGTGGCAGCACAGTTGAGCACAGCGATGTCCCACAAACAGTCATGAAACAAGTGACCAATTTTATTTGGGGGTGGTGGAGCGGGTTGTCCAGGGTCCCGGGAGAAACTCTCTTCTCTTTTCAAGTAGTGCCATGGATCTTACCCATCCACCTGAGTCAAGGCAAAATGTACCCTAAACGGTAATATTGTTTATGTAGTGAAGGAACAGAGGACAGTAGAAAAACATAGCTCGAAATTCTATGGTTGTTTATTGCAGTGATTAGCTACAAGATAAAACATGTTCTTTATCATTTCATTAATATGCATTCCTTGCTTCCAAAACTTTAGAATTGCATTGTATACTGACTGTTCCAGTTCAATACCTTCATCAAATTACTGACCTGGCAAACTCATTTCATTTAGAATAACCTCCTGAAAACCTATCTGAAAAATCCAGAGACAAAAGAACAATGTTGCAATAAACTGCATTCCTCAACTTTTAAAAAAATTGTTGGCCTATTCTGTAGTCTCCAGTTCGATTCTCTTGAAGCAAAATGTCAGAAAAATGGATTGCTACAATATTGTAATTTTACTATCTGTGCTGGAAATATAACAACATTCTGTATGATATTTAGAATAAGCCATTTTTTTAAAACAAAGTTAAGAACAGGTGGAGAACAGAGAATATCGTTTTACTGTTTTATCGTTTTACTGTCTGTTGAGCATTTTGGTTTGTGAAAGGATTCTTCCTCTAAAACACATTGCCAGTGAGGATGGTTGAAGCCAGGTCACCGGACTCAATTAAAAAGCAGCTTGATGCTGTAATACAACAACAACAAAATTACATTTGTTCAGCACCTTTCACATTGGGAGGACATCCCAAGGCGCTGGATAGGAGGATTGTAAGGTAGGTATTCTGGAGGGATGAGATCAGATGGGCCAAAAAGCCTCTTCATCCAAACCAATCTTGTGAATACTTGTATTAGATTTGCAAATTGAATGGATACTCTTCAATAAATGTGAACATGAATAAGAGTTGGCGAGAGTTTATACAGTATTTAAAAAAAATGAAGGTGAAGATATTAGACTGGCTAACAGAAAGGCGAAAATGTAAAACAAATATAGATCATAATCGATAATTACATATCTGATTCAAACATTAAAAAGCTACAATCAAAGTAAGCCTCATTTTGGGGGGTTAGACAGGTGTCTGACACATGCAGAAACCCATCACCATGCTTAAGAGTATCCAAACTAAACAGTTCCTT